GAGCACTGTTGGGCCAGACCGACCTGGCCCAGAGCAAATATAGTCACATACTTTGTGTTTCCAGAGTTGCTCACAGACCCAGAGTTGTATCCTGCTGGCCTTTTCACTAGAAGTTTTATTGTATGTTACTATTTCTCTCCTAGGAGGACTTCACCCCTGCACAACAAAACCTGTATAATAGTAAAGCAAATCGATTTGTAGATTTAGAAAGTTCATCTTTTTTGAAAAAATCATCCATTAATTTGGTTTAAACCTGGATTGGAGTTTTTCTTTCTCAAAACAGATTAAAACTAGAAATAAAAGCTCAGTTAAGGCTGGGAGTGGTGGCTCACGCCTGTAATCCCAACACTTTGGGAGGCCAAGGCAGGCAAATCACAAGGTCAGGAGTTTGAGACCAGCCTGACCAACATGGTGAAACCCTGTCTCTACTAAAAATACAAAAATTAGCCAGGCATGGTGGCGCACACCTGTAATCCCAGCTACTCAGGAGGCTGAGGCAGGAGAATCACTTGAACCTGGGAAGCGGAGGTTGCAGTGAGCCAAGATCGTGCCATTGCACTCCAGTCTGGGCTACAGAGCGAGACTCCGCCTCAAAAACAAACAAACAACAACAACAAAAAACTCAGTTAAAATAGTTCAAATAGCAGGAGTTTTCCATTACCCCTATTCCCTCTTCACAATTCAAGGTCAATGAGAAGGTAACTCATTTCTCAAACTGACCTGGATCTCTGCCCCAAGAAACAGATCCATTTGCTGAGTCCGAGCTCATGGTAATGGCAAAATGGCAAAGCCTGTCTAAATCAAGGTATGCCTCTTCTTCTTCTTTTTTTTTTTTTTTTTGAGACGGAGTCTCACTCTTACCAGGCTGGAGTGCAGTGGCTCGATCTCAGCTCACTGCAACCTCCACCTCCCGGGTTCAAGCGGTTCCTCTGCCTCAGCTGGGACTACAGGTGCGTGCCACCATGCCTATTTTTTGTATTTTTAGTAGACACAGGGTTTCACCATGTTGGCCAGGATGGACTCAATCTCCCGACCTCGTGATCTGCCTGCCTTGGCCTTCCAAAATGTCGGGATTATAGGCGTGAGCCACCGTGCCCGGCCAAGGTATGCCTTTTCTTAGTATTAGAGCCAGACCTTCAGTCTGGGATCATATCATCTGGGTTACTTAGAGATACTTTAAAAATATATTAATCTTCTTTTTTTTTTTTGAAACAGAGTTTTCTTCTTGTTGCCCAGGCTGGAGTGCAGTGGCACAATCTCGGCTTACTGCAACCTCCGCCTCCTGGGATCAAGCAATTCTCCTGCCTCAGCCTCCCGAAGTAGCTGGGATTATAGGTACGCACCATCACACCCAGCTAATTTTTTTGTATTTTTAGTAGAGACAGGGTTTCATCATGTTGGCCAGGCTGGTCTCGAACTCCCGACCTCAAGTGATCCACCTGCCTCAGCCTCCCAAAGTGCAGGGAATACAAGTGTGAGCCACCGTGCCCGGCCAAAAATATATATCTTTAAATTAGTAGTTAAACATAAATTAGTAGTTAAATTGTGGTATGACCTCTCTCAGCTAAGCATCTGATACTATCAGGATAGTTTTAACATGTGTTGATGGAATAATTGTTCTCATTGTAAAAGAAACAAAAGGAAGGAAATTCATGAAAGTTGCCGTGCCAGTTTGTATTTTATTTACAAATGGTTAAGCTTGTATATGAAATTTGTGAATAGCCTCTTTCAAATTTAAGTGTGGATCTGCTTATGGTCAGTCTGTGTCTATCTCAGTGCCTGGAAATGTTTCTATGAATTTGTAATGCCTAAAAGCATAACACTTTTGCATTGCTGATGCCAGTATTTAGGGTTTATGTATCCTCTCACCTAAGGAGAGCATTATTCTGTCATTCCACATAAACTCAAAACACCTATCTGCAAATCTGAATACAGTCTGTTGTCTGCTATGTGGTGTGCAAGCTCTTGATTAGACTCTCTGGCCCCGGTCTCTTCCTCTTCTGATAATAGCACACCTGGTCAATAAACATGCTTCCAAAATGCCAACAATGGAAATATGGAAGTTCCGAGGTGAAGCTAAATTTGGAATAAATGTGAGTTTACATTTAGACATGTTGACTTTGAGGAAATGAGAGGGAATTCAAGGAGGAGCTATTGCAAGGATAGTGACAGATTCTGAATACGAAGTATAAGAGGGTAAATTGAGCCATGCAAATAGAGACCATATTTGGAGTCATGAAATTTCTGAATGGGGTCTGAGGGTGTAGAGCAATGTGAGCAACCTTCTTTCTTCTTTTTTTTCTTTTTAAACGAGGGACTTTTAAAAGTAACAGAGGTGGACCTTATTTTTGTAAACATTGAAAGTGAAAATAATGTCACTGAATTCAATGAAAAAACGTATGCTTTAGGATGATTTCGTAAAGGATGACTATTCTTCCTCCAGGCAAGTGTTTTCTGGCATTTTCTTGATACATATCTGGCATGGGATTTAAGGGATGGATAGTGGAGGTCCAAGTGGAGAACTGAGAGAAGAAGGGGAACCAAAGAAGAACTGTCAGCTTTCAGAATGTTGGAAGAAGGAAGAGGGAGAAAATAAGCAGAAGTTCAACAAGCTGAGTACTTGTGAAAGAGATTTTGGGTTTATGTTTGAGGACTAAAGAGAATAGAATGGAACTCAAATGTGGCTCTATACAATGAATGGGTTCCTCTTTGATTTTTTTTTCAGAGTTGGAAGTAAAGGTTAGAATACCTTTTTAAAATTACTACGCATCTTGGCTGGGAGCTGTAGCTCACGCCTGTAATCCCAGCACTTTGGGAGGCCGAGGCAGGTTCATCACCTGAGGTCAGAAGTTTGAGACCAGCCTGGCCAATGTGGCAAAACCCTGTCTCTACTAAAAATACAAAAATTAACTGGGTGTGGTGGCACGTGCCTGTAATCCTAGCTACTCAGGAGGCTGAGGCAGGAGAATTGCTTGAACACGGGAGGCAGAGGTTGCAGTGAGCCGAGATTGTGCCACTGCACTCCAGTCTGGGCAACAGAATGAGACTCTGTCTCAAAAATCAATCAATCAATAAAAATAAAATAAAACAAAAGAACTGCGTATCTCTATATGTGACTGAGCAGAGTCTCAGGCATGTGAGACTCCGGGATTTATTAGGGCTACAAGAAGAATGCCAATGAGAAGCTTGGCAATGCTTTTGAACCACTAAAATGTTATCTGGTCGTATCTAAGATGTCACAACACTGAAGCAGATTTCTAATCTTTTATAACTTAATTTGCATGGCTCTTTAGAGTTTAAATGTTTTCACATTTATATCTTATTTTATCTTTGGAATGACTTCTTGAATTATTATCATCCATAATTTGTAAATGGGGAAATTGAAGCTTAGAGAAGTAAACTAGAAGCATATCAGAGTTTTTAATTAATTCCAATCAATTTAACATCTACTGAGCCTTGATCTGAGTTTCAGGTTGTACTAGATACTGGGGATGCAAAACTTAATAAAATGTGCAACCAGTCCTCAACCATTACACCATTACTTTCTTTGCTTTTCCCAAATTCTCTCCCAGAGGTTTGATATCCACCCTTACCTTGGGTTGGGCCAGTTCATAGTGAGATACAACACTGAGCGTCACTTACACAAACACCGCTTACAGAAAGTATTGACTCCAGGGTACTCTTCCACACCTATGATGTAGTTAGCAGAATTGCAAAGGTGGCTGGCTAGACACAGTGGTTCATGCCTGTAATCCCTATGCTTTGGGAGGCCCAAGTCAGGAGGATTGCTTGAGGCCAGAAGTTTAAGGCTATAGTGAGCTATTAGTTGTGCCACTGTACTCCTGAGTGAGACCCTGTATCTAAAAATGAAAAATAAAAACAATTGCAAAGGTAAAGAAGATCAGGGAACTCTTATACAACCACATTAGAAGGCAATTCAGCAAAATCTAATAAGCTAAAGATATCTTTATCTTACAATCTAGCAATTTCACTTCTCCATGTAGAAACTCTCCCTTAAATATGCAAGGAGATGGGTAAATGAATGTTCATTGAAGTATCATGTATAACAGAAAAATAATTGGAAATGATGTAAGTTTCCATCCACCTGAGAATGGGTAAGTAAATTGTTTTGTGATCACACAGTGGAATACTACATATTAGTTAAAATGAATGAACTAGAACTGGAACTAAAATATGCATAAATCTCAAAAAATGTAATACTGAATGATAAAGTAGCAGAAAATACATGAAGTATGCTACTGATTACACTAAGTTTAAACATATGAAACAATACTAGATATTTCTATGTGTGATAAGCATTTTAGAATATTCATGGTCATAATAAACATCATATTCAAGATAGTTGTTATGTTCTGTTGAGGAAAAAAGGATTATCATATAGCATGCAGAAGGCTTTAGCTGATTCACTTCAAAAAAAAAAGAATCTGAAGCAAATATTGCACAACTTAATACTTGACAAAGATGAGTAGGGAGGAAAAAAAGAGCTTGTTATTATTTTCTGTATGTTTATGCTTGAAATATTTCATTTAAAGGTGTATATGGCTCCTAGACTGGAATTCTTGGCTTTTGTGATTTTGTGTGTGTATATGTGCAGAATTTTCTTTTTTTTTCCTCTTCCCATGTTGAAATTCCATCCATTCTTTGATGACTAGCTTCTCTCACCACCTGATTGAGAATTTCCATGATGACTTTCTCAGTTCACACTATGTTCTCCTTTTTTTTTTTTTTTTAAGATTTATTTATTTATTTATTTACAGATAGGGTCTCGCTCTGTCACCCAGACTGGAGTGCAGTGGTACGATCATAGCTCACTGCAGCCTCAAACTCCTGGGCTCAAGTGATCCTTCTGCCTCAGCTTCTCAAGTAGCCAGACTACAAGTGTGTACTACTATGCCTGGCTAATTAAAAATTTTATTTATTTATTTTTTTATAGAGGCAGAGTCTCGCTTTGTTGTCCAGGCTGGTCTTGAACTCCTGAGCTCAAGTGATCCTCCCGCCTTGGCCTCCCAGAGTGCTGAGATTACAGGTAGGAGCAACCATGCCCAGCCTTCTCCTTTTTTAAAGCCCACTTCTATAAGTGTGTAAAGTTCTCTTGTATATATGTTTGTATCACTAGATTTTTTTTATGTTGTAGGCTAAATATATATTGTCTTGCGTTACTATTTGACTTGAATATACATAAATCTTGTTTCTCCAATTATATTGTAAAAATCTTAAGAGCAGGGACAATGTCTTCAACTTTGTTAATTCTTTCACAGTGCCCAGCAGAGCCTGACCAAATACTTATTAACGTAAAGTGGTATTTTTACCAATAATTATAACCCTTCCTACAAAACCTTTGCACAGAAAGTTTAAAATAATAATTTGAGCTACATTTGCTTTTATTTTCCCAGAGAGAGAATGCTAATGAGCTGTGAAATGACCAAAGATCTGGCAGCAGAAGGGAAGAGAAAAAATAACGGGTTTGTATATTACACATTCTGGATAATCAGCTCTTGAATGATTAAGTGTGGAAAACGTCTTATAGGGAAAAGCAATTTTTAAAACTCATTTTATGACCATGGAATTGTTGTATTGGTCATTTCCAGTTTTCAGATGATCCTATGCCAAACTTACACATTATTTTGGAAAAATACAATTCTCTTATGATATGCCGTATAACCACATACAAATATGCCTTGTGATTATTCTGCCTTCACATCAATATTTATTGGACTAGATCTGGAAATGGTGGTCTGGGGAAACTAAGAAACAAAAATTATTCCACCTGTGGAACCAGGAAGGGATTTTGAAGAAAAAAAAATTACCTTGAGTTCAATTCACTCTTGGTACATCTTGTAAAAAGTGCCTGGGGCTTGAAGCAACCACTTGAAATTAAGGCTCGCCTGAAACCTCAGAATGAAAGGTTAGTGTGCACTAGTCCAGATGAAAGCTAAAGACCACAGGAAATAGTAAGAGGTCTGGACTACATTGTCTCTCCTTGAAATTGAAAGTTGGGATCTAAGAAGAAGACACATTTAGAAATCAGTATGGTTACTTTTAACAAAAGGGGCAATTGCCATGGTCTCGGTCAAAATTACCACCATTTAGTCCCTGGAGATTTTCCTAATGGGCCTTTGTAATGATTTATTAAACCAAGTCACCATCTCCTGGTTCTTTGGGATAGGTGCTACAACACCCAACATAGAGTTGCCTAAATTAAACTTTACCTATGTCTGTATTTATGAGTGCATTTTAAACTTTGCAGTATATTTCAGGGAGAGTATATCTCTGAAAATTATTACTCCCTTGTAGCTCTATGTAATTTACCTGGCAAAGAAAACAAAAGGCACAAAAATACCTTGCAATTTGGTGGGACATTATATATTCCTTCATGTTCACTCCATTTGTAAATATTAATGTTGAAGCAAAATCCTAAAGCAACATGACCAGAGTATTATTGCAGCCATCATGAGCCATATCATTGATCTCTGCAATTTTTTTCTTTCCTCAAATAAATAGAAGCAGGAAAAATAATGGTATATAGAGAATACATATTATTAATATATTGGTCCTAAGTCTAAGTGTTTGTTACTTAGAATTAATTTCCCATGGAAATAGTGTAGTTAATTATGGTTAGATGCCAAGGCTGGGCCACGAAACCTCATACAATATTAGTAGGTGTGGCAGAATAAATTGATTGAGAAACCATATTTTATTTTCTTGTCTACTGGCTCATCATGGAAAAACGAGAAGTATTTCTTTTTCTCTTCTTCTCTCTAGAGGGCAGGTTTAGCTGTGGTGATTTTCTGATGCCTTGTGAAGGCAGATGATTCAATGATTTGGAATGGGAAGGACTCCAAGAAAAGGGAAATGGCCTGATGTCAGGAGAATTTAGGTCTCCTGAAGCTGTCTGGAGAGAACCAGACAGGAGTCAGTTTCTGTAAATGGTGAGGAGCTATGTCTACTCCCAAATAGAACAAAATGGTACAGATGTCCAATGGGGATGTCAGCAAGGATGTCTTGTCTCAGAAGTAATAAAAATACTAAATTACACAAGGATATAATAAGCCAAAGGTGAATGTTGTAAACTCTAGGTCACCATTAAGAGAATAATAGAAATAGTTATAACTAACATAATATGGAAATAGCAAAAGGGAGAAAGGATAGTTAATTAAAAATAATTAAGCTAAATGACGGCAAGAAAAAAGATAAAAAGGAGCAAGTAACAAGTGGGGCAAATAGAAAAAAATAATAAAATGGTACCTATCAACCCAAATATCTCATCAAGTACCTTAACTATTAAAATTAAATATAAATTAATTATAAATTTAAAATATGAAATAAAAATGGCATAATACTCCACTAAAAGACAAAGATTGTCATACTGGCTAAAATAATTGCATATGCTTTTTTACAAAAGATACAATAGTAAAAAAATAGAAAAAAACATGTTATGCAAAAGCTATCACCCCAAAAGCTCTTCTAGCTATACAATAACATACAAAGTAGACTTTAAGGAAAGAAGCATTATTAGAAATAAAGTGGGATATTTTACAATAATACAAATATCAATCCATCAGGAAGATACAATAAGTCTAATTCTGTGCACAACTAGTAATATACTTCAAAATATATTAATTTAAAAATTCCCAAAACTGCAAGGAGAAATAGGTCTACAATAACAGTAAGATCTTTCAGTAACCAATAAAAAAGTAGACACAAATTAATAAGAACACAAAATTTAAACAACATGATTAACAGGATTTACAAAATTGATATATATTGAATATTTCACCAAACAACTACAGAATTCACTTTCATTTCATATGAACATGGAACATTTACTAAAAGTGGCAATAACTTTGGCCATAAAGCAAGCCTCAATGTATTTCAAAGGATTGACATAATACAGAGTACATTCTTTGAGCAGAGGGGAATTAACCTAATGATATTTTAAAAACTAGAAAGTTTTCAAATATGTGAAAATTTAGCAGTATACTTCTAAATATTCCATAGGTCAAAGAAGAAATCACAATGGAAATTAGAAAATACTTTATTTATTTATTTATTTATTTATTTATTTATTTATTTTTTGAGACAGAGTCTTGCTCTGTCGCCCAGGCTGGAGTGCAGTGGCCAGATCTCAGCTCACTGCAAGCTCCGCCTCCCGGGTTTAGGCCATTCTCCTGCCTCAGCCTCTGGAGTAGCTGGGACTATAGGCGCCTGCCACCACGCCTGGCTAGTTTTTTTTTTTGTATTTTTTAGTAGAGACAGGGTTTCACCGTGTTAGCCAGGATGGTCTCGATCTCCTGACCTCGTGATCTGCCCGTCTCGGCCTCCCAAAGTGCTGGAATTACAGGCTTGAGCCACCGTGCCCAGCCTAGAAAATACTTTAAACTAAATCATAATGAAAGTATGACACAAAAAATTTTAAGATATAACTAAAACTGTGTTTTGGGCGAAATTTATTATCTTAAGGGCTAGAACGTATAGCTTTAAACAAAAATTACCTAAGTATCTCAAGAAGTTAGAAACAAAATGCAATTAAACTTGAAGAAAGTGTAAGAAAAGTTAAGAGAAAAAAGTAATGAAGAAAATGTATAGTAGGCTGGGCGTGGTGGCTCATGCCTGTAATTCCAGCTCTTTGAAGGCTGAGGTAGGTGAATCACTTGAGCCTAGGAGTTTGAGACCAGCCTGGGCAACAAAATGAGACCCCCATTTCTAGAAAAAATTTAAAAGTTAGTTGGGTGTGATTGTACATACCTCTGGTCCCGGCTACACAGAGGCTGAGGCAAGGGGATCACTTGAGCCCAGGAGGTTGAGGCTGCAGTGAGCCCTGTTCATGCCATTGCATTCCAGCCTGGGCCTAGGTGAAAGAGTGAGACCCAGTCTCAAAAAAAAAAAGGTACAGTAGAGAAAAGTCACTGAAAGAAAATAATGAAACTGGTAATTCCCTAGCAAAACTGATCACACATACAATATACAAATAAAAAGGAGGGAGGGCACATATTACCTCTATCAGACATTAAAAAAAAAAAAAAAGACACCATTGTGGACCCCACAAACATTATAAAGTTGAAGAGAAAATATTTTGGACAACTTAATATCAATAAATTAGAAAATTTAGATAAAATGGGAAATTTCTAGAATAACCCAATTTACCAAAAGTGACACCAAAAGAAATAGAAAACCCGAATAGTCCTGTTATGACATGACAAAACATGCATCTATGAACAAATTTTTAAAATAAAACAGACTAAAATGTTTATGACCTTGTATTTCATAAATATTTCTTAAATACTATACACACACACACAAAAACTACACAAATACTACACATAAATATAAAAGAGGCCGGGCGTGGTGGCTCACGCCTGCAATCCCAGCCCTTTGGGAGGCCAAGGCGGGCAGATCATGAGGTCAGGAGATCAAGACCATCCTGGCTAACACAGTGAAACCCCTTCTCTACTGAAAATACAAAAAATTAGCCAGGTGTGGTGGTGGGTGCCTGTGGTCCCAGCTGCTGGGGAATCTGAGGCAGGAGAACGGCATGAACCTGAGAGGTGGAGCTTGCAGTGAGCTGAGATCATGCCACTGTACTCCAACCTGGGAGATAGCAAGATGCCATCTCAAAAAAAAAAAAGGTATAAAAGAAGGCCAGGCACAGTGGCTCACACTGTAGTCCCAGCATATTGGGAGGCTAAGGTAGGATAGCTTGAAACCAGGAGTTTGAGACCAGTCTGAGCAACAAAGCGAGAACCTGTCTCTAAAAAAAAAAGGAAAAAAAGAAAATTAATAGACTTATGCAAATAAAAAATTTTGCTCTTTATAAGTAACTATTATGAAAATGAAACTGCACACCACAGACTGGAAGAAAATATGTGTAAAATAAGCACCTGATGATAGGCTTGTATTAAGAATAATAAAGAATTCTTACAACTCAGTAAGAAGTCAAATTAAAATAACTCAATTTCTAAAATGGGCAAAAGATTTTAATAGACATTTCATGAGTGTCAATAAGCACATGAAAGCATGCTCAACATTGTTAATCATTGGGAAAATGCAAATTAAAACCATAACGAGATATCATTAGATATGCACTAGAATGACTAACATTGACAAGACTGACAATGCCGAGTGCTAACTAAGATATGGAGCAACTGAACACTCGCATACTGCTGATGGGAGTGTAAATAGCATAATCACCTTGGAAAAGTTTGACAGTTTCTTAAGTTAAACATAAACTTATAAGACCCAGCAGTCCCAATCCTAGATACCTACTTAAGAAAAATGAAAACATATGTATATACAAATACATGTCTTGAATGTCCATTGCAGCTTTATTCATAATGGCTAAAAACTAGGAACAACAAAATGTCCATCAAAAGATGAATTGATAAACAAGTTGAGATATATCCATAAAACAGAATACTATTCACCAATAAAAAGTAATTAACTGGGTCAGGCACGGTGGCTCATGCCTGTAATCCCAGCACTTTGGGAAGCCAAGGCGGGCAGATCATTTGAGACCAGGAGTTTGAGACTAGCCTCACCAACATGGTGAAATCCCATCTCTACTCAAAATACAAAAATTAATTGCTGTGGGGACATGCACTTGTAATCCCAGCTACTCAGGAGGCTGAGGCACAAGAATCACTTGAACCTGGGAGGCAGAGGTTGCAGTGAGCTGAGATCGCACCACTCCACTCCTACCTGGGCAAAGAGTGAGACTGTCTGGAAAAAAAAAAAAAGTAATTAACTACTTGCTGAAATGACATGGATGAGATTTTAAAATTATGCTCATTGAAAGAAGCCAGACACAAAATACCACTAACTGAATGATTCCATTTATATAAAATTCTAGAAAAGACCACGTATCAGTGTTGTCAGTTGTCAGGAAGGTGGAAGAAGAGAAGTAACTTCAGAAAACACATGGGAGCTGTTTGGGATAATGAAAATATTCTGTATGATGATTTTGATGATGGTTACCTTGTAAAATAGACTTATAAAATTAATGCAATTATATTCTTTAAATTGGTGAATTTCATTGTGTGAAAATTATATCCCAATAAAGCTAACCAAAAAAAAAAAAAAAAAGGGTCAAAGACTTGAACAGGTACTTCATAAAAGAGAACATCCAAATGACCAATAAACATATGAAAAGGCGTAAATTAAAAGTAGAATGAGATACAATTCTACACCTATCATTATGTCTAAAATCAAAAAGATGGAAAATACCAAATATTGCTGAGGACACTGGCACAACTGGAACTCTCCTGTGCTGCTCACAGGGATGTAAATTCGTATTACCACTTTGGAAAATTGTTTGGCAATGTCTAGGAAAGCTGAATATGTGCATAACCTATGACTGGGTAATTCTAGTTCTGTTTGTAGTCAGAATTTGGGAACCAATAGGAAGGATAAATAAATGGTGGTAAATCTGTGCAATTCAATACTACATAGCAATGAGAATGAATGAACTACTGCTACATATGACATGAAAGGAGCATATAAACATGATACTGAGTGAAAGAAACCATACACAAAAGCGTACATTTATTTAAAGTTAGAAAGCAGGGCCTGGCGCGGTGGCTGATGCCTGTAATCCCAGCACTTTGGGAGGCTGAGGTGGGTGGATCACCTGAGGTCAGGAGTTCGTGACCAGCCTGGCCAACATGGAGAAACCCCGTCTCTACTAAAAATACAAAAATTAGCTGGGCGCGGTGGCACATGCCTGTATTCCCAGCTACTCAGAAGACTGAGGCAGGAGAATTGCTTGAACCTTGGGGGCGGAGGTTGCAGTAAGCTGAGATTGTACCACTTCAATCCAGCCTGGTGACATAGCGAGATTCCATCTCAAAAAAAGAAAAAAAGAAAAAAGCAGAAGACGTTAAGCTATGGTAATAGATGTCAAGATTGTGGTTACCTGACAGAAGGTAATAACTGGGTGAGAGCATAAGGGGCCTTCTAGAGTGCCAGTACTCCTCCTTGGTCTTCATAGTAGTTACATGGGAGTTCACTTTGTGAAAATTCATTAGGATTCTATCCTTATGATCTGTGCCATTTTCTTTAGGTATGTTATATTCAATAAAATTTCTATGTAAAAGTTCCAGTCACACCAATACCTGTATAACAATCTGTTATACCTGTATAACACAGGTATAACACAGAGCATAATCTATAACCAAGTAAATCCTATTCATCTGACTTTGCCTGACCTAATAATATCTTATAAATGGAAATCCAAACATTCAAGACAGAAAATTGCTTGTAACACAAAAACACCTTTCACTTTATAACACAACACATCGAATGCATGAAAGGAACGAGGATAACATCACAACAGATCCATTTTTCAATTGTGTAGATGTATTCGAAGGAAAGAAATACATACTTGCTGTGAATATGTTCACTTTAAACATTATGTCTGTTAGTAAAACACTAAAATCAGCCCAAATATCCAACCACTGGGTCAAGATTTAATAAATTATGATATACTAATACAAGATAACAACATACATTGAAAAACGATGAATAGAAGACCTTGTAGAAGCACTAAACATTTTTGCAGGTGTAATGTCACGTAAAAAAATCTAAATGTAAGAGGATATGTACATCGCGATTCTATTTATGCAAAAGTGGACCAATAGGTAAAAATGAACAAGTAGAAAACTGTTATGTTGGAGTGGCAGATTTATGGATTTTTGTCGGGGAAGAGGAGGTACCCTTCTGGAAACAGTCTTTGTTATTATTTGGGTCAGTTGAGTTTTTTTGTTGTAAGCAACAGAAACTAACTTAAATGAAGAAGAGATTTCATTTCAAGCCATATAGGAATAGCTTACAGAATCAAAGGCTTTGCTGAATGACCAAGAGAGCAGGAACTGGGAAGGTGACAGAAATCTTAGAAACAAAAGTTCTTTAACCAACTCTCTAGGATTCTGCCTCCTTGTGATTAGCATTAAATACTTTTTGTCAGCCGAGTGTAGTGGCTCACGTCTATAATCCTAGCATTTTGGGAGGCCGAGGTGAGCGGGTCACTCGAAGTCAGGAGCTGGGCCAACATGGTGAAAACCCGTCTCTACTAAAAATACAAAAATTAGTCGGGTGTGGTGGTATGTGCCTGTAGTCCTAGCTACTTGGGAGGCTGAGATATGAGAATTGTTTGAAGCCGGGAGGCGGAGGTTGCAGTGAGCCGAGATCGTGACACTGCACTCCAGCCTGGGTGACATAGCAAGACCCTGTGTCAAAATAAATAAATAAATAAATAAATAAATAAATAAATAAATAAATAAAAATACCTTCCGTCCTCATGTGCCTCCACTCAAGATTCAAATTAATGAAAGAGAAAATCTTATTTGTTCCAGTCTGAGTCACGTATCCACCTTGTCCCTTGGTTGGTAACCATATCAGAACCACCTGGAGTTGAGGAAAGGCACTTCCCTAAAACAGAGGGGTAGTGCTGTGACCAGAAGAACAGGGAGCAGAAGGGTGCCAGGTGGACCAAAACAACAGTTCCATGAAATTTTATGCCATCTTTTCAATAAATAGAATATTACTATTTTTTCTTATATTAAATGAGGATATATTTATTGAAGATACTTTGCAAAATTCAGAAAAGTATAAAGTAAAAGAGTAATGAAGAGAAAAATCATCTTTTATCGCATTATCTGCAACCCTGTATTAATTACCTATTGCTGCATAATAAGTTATTCTCAAAACTAGGGTGACCAGAGACAGAAAGTGGATTAGTGAAGGGGTCGAAGGACTGAGTGGTTATAGCAAAAGTATGGGATTTCTTTTTAAAGTCCTAAAACTGGATTGTTGCACCACTCTGTGAATGTAGTAAAACCATTGAAATTTTAATGGGTGAATATTATGAGACATGAATTATGTATATCAATAAAGCTGTATTTTAAAAATACTAAGGTGACTGACTATCGCAGTTTGCCCAGGATTTCCCTGGTTTCAGTATTGAAAATCCTGCCTCCCAGAAAACCCCTCAGTTCTGGTAAGAACTGGACAGTTGGCCAGGTGTGGTGGCTCATGCCTGTAATCCTAGCACTTTGGGAGGCCGAGGCAGGCGGATCACGAGGCCAGGAGTTCGAGACCAGCCTGGCCAACATGGTGAAACTCCATCTCTACTAAAAATACAAAAATTAGCTGGGCATTGTGGCAGGCACCTGTAATCCCATCTACCCAGGAGACTGAGGCAGGAGAATTGCTTGAACACGAGAGGTGGAGGTTGTGGTAAGCCGAGATCCCGCTGTTGCACTCTAGCCTGGGCAACAAGAGTGAAACTCCATCTCAAAAAAAAAAAAAAAAAAAAAAAAAAAAGCTGGACAGTTGATCACCTTACTCAAAATGTAACAATGTAAAACAGTAAACATTTGTTATCTCAGTTTCTCTAGATTAGAAATCCAGAAGGAGCTTAATTGGATGTTTCTGGCCCAAGGTCTCTCATGAAGTTGCAGTCAACACATTAGCTGGTGCTGCAGCCATCTGAAGCTTGACGGGCTGGGGATCTGCTTCCAAGCTCACCCATGTGATGCTGACAAGAGGCCACAATGTCTTGCCATGTGGGTCTCTCATTGTGTGCCTTCATAACGTGGCAACTGGCTTTCCCCATAAGCAAGTGATAGAGAAAGGAGGAGAGAGAATTTGCCTGATCTAATAGTATCTCATAAATGGAAAGAGACAGAGACTAAGGACTCAGATAGATGTTCTAGTGTCTTAAAATTTTTTAAATTTATTTTATTTTATTTTTTTGGAGAAGGGTCTTGCTGTGTTACCCAGGCTGGAGGGCAGAGATGAGAAAAGGGGTCCCAGAACCTCCTGGGCTCGAGCGATCCTCCCACCTCAGCCTCCTGAGTAGCTGAGCTGGAACTAGAGATGTGTGTGCCAATGCTTCTGGGGTTTTTTGTTTGTTTGTTTGTTTTGTGTTTTTTTTGGTAGAGATAAGGGTCTCACTATGTTGCTCAGAACTCCTGGGCTCAAGCAATCCTCCTGCCTCAGCCCCCTCAAATGTTGGGATTAAAGGCATGACCCACCATCCACCATGCCCTGCTCATGTCTTTTAAAACCTAATCTTGCCACCATTTCAGTCCTATTTTACTGGTCACACACTTCACCTCTGGTACAATTTGAAAGGGAACTACACAAGGGTCTTCATGCCAATGTGTGAATATAAGGAAACCAGATCATTGAGCATTCGTGGAACCTCACTCCTACAAACTGTAGTGCTAACTTTTTTTTTTTTTTTTTTTGAGACGGAGTCTTGCTCTGTTGCCCAGGCTGGAGTGCAGTGGCGTGATTTTGGCTCACTGCAACTTCCACCTCCTGGGTTCAGGTGATTCTCCTGCCTCAGCCTCCTGAGTAACTAGGATTACGGGCATGTGCCACCACACCCAGCTAATTTTTGTATTTTTGGTAGAGATGGGGTTTCACCATGTTGGTCAGGCTGGTCTCGAACTCCTGACCTCAGGTGATCCACCTGCCTTGGCCTCCCAAAGTGCTGGGATTACAGGCATGAGCCACCGTGCCCAGGCCCCATTTTACTGATTTTTAAATTAAAACATCCTCATTACAGAATGCATGGATAATTCAAGAGTATAATAAAGACGCATGTTATGATGAACACCTTTGAACATAAATTTTACTCCTATCTCTGATTAGATAGATTTCTAGATGTGCAGTTATTAGGTCACATGGCTTACACATCTTGAGACTTGTTCCATATTGCCAAAATGCTTTTCTGATACTTGCAGTGTATCAGATGCCCATTTTGCCATACCCTTGCTAGTCTTTAGTAACTTCCAATTTCTAGGTGAAAAACTGTACCTCCTTGTTTTAGAGTGCTTTTTAATAGTAAAGTGGAACATTTTCTCATAGGTTTAGTGGCCACCACTAATAAATAAGCATTTAACAGATCATAAATCCTTTCCATATATATATGTATATGTGTATTTATTTAATATTTATTGAGTGCCTATTATAAGAACAGGAAGTATCCCTGCTCCCAAAATACTCACAGTCAAGTGAGTGAGACTGACCAAAAAAAAAAAAAGTTCAATATATTCTAATCTGAGGAAACATTTAAAAAGCAAAGAAACAGTTTGGTTGCTAATTGAGACTTCAAGTACTTTTCCTGCACTGGAACATCAAGTAGAGCGGTGGGGAATGATGGAGTGTTAAGAGAATAAGACTAGATAAGTGAGATCAGATCTCATTGGCCTGTCCAGCTCTGTTAAGAAACTTAGGTCTAATTCCCAAAGGCAATGGGAAAGCAAGGACGAGTTTTAAACAACCACAAGTTAGATGATAAGGTTTGTGCTTTTGAAATCTCCTTCTGGTGAACTGAGGAAAAACTGAAGAGTGGTAATAATGGAAATAGGACAGCCAGACAGGAAACTGAAGCTGTAGTTCAGGAAAGAGACAAGGATGGCCTGACCCAGTGGAACAGCGAGAAGGATGTTGAGAAATGTTTTAGGTTTAAATGGCAGCCCTCATCCCAGTCTAAGCCGCTGGAAAAATAAAGCAATAAAACAAATGATTGGAAGACAAACTCTAAAACATTTATTGCTGGAAAAAAAGCTAAGGTATAGGTCTTAGCTTAGCG